ATACCAAACGAACGCCGTAAGTTTACCTACGTTCACCTCCCTGTTAATCTCCTACGCATATACGTGCGCATATATATATATATATATATATATATATATATATATATATATATATATATATATATATATTATTGTGTGCAGCTTATATTTTATATCATAAAAACAATTTATACATTGCTATTTAATTCTTTATGTAAATAGTTTTCTATGTTATATATATATATATATATAATATATATATATAATTTTAATTTATTTGTAACAAACAGTTTTTTTCTGAAGAAAGATTGAGGTCAATCTGAAATATTAAATATATATAAAATAAATAGATACTTTCATAAAAAACATTATTATTTTTTAATTTGCAACTTTTTATATAAATATATATATATATATATATATATATATATATATATATATATATATATATATATGAATATTGAAGTCAACAACCAATGGCGACAGTATGTTTCAGGCTTAAACGTAATCTTCAGGCCATGTACATTGTGTTCTGGCTCGACTATTTGTATAGGCTATGTTTTATAATTACATAGGCTCTATCCATGATACATAGCACTTTAACCCATAGCATATCTTAAAACTACATTTTATCTTATATATATATATAAATTTCAACTGTCTCTTTTTGTTGCTGCGTATAAATGTCTTTTTTGTTTCTATTTTCTCTTAAACTCTGTCGTTGCTCGCGAGTTTAAATCCATGGTATTCTAAAGACGGTGAATAATGGATAGCGGCACAAATTCAGGAATCGAAGAGCCTAGTTCGAATTTACCCTTGGGAAAAGTATGAATCCTCTTCTTCTCCAGCTATAGGTAAATAGCAGGAGAGACTGGGTTTTATAGTTTTGGGTGGCAACCGGTCTAGGACAAGCCAACTCTGAATTCAAAACCGGCCTGGAGAGGGATGGATTCCGTCAGGCTATCTTGCCAAAGAAAGACCACTTCTACCGCGGCTACAGTACATGTGGTGCTCCTATGACCCTGATGGGTGACAGGATTCGCGATCACGATTCTCAACATCCTTCTGTAAAATCACATTTCACATTGCATTAAGTAAAATCTTCTTCATCTGTGATAAGATTGTCTAGCATTCACTGTCATATAGATGGACTGATATTACATAACAGTTCAGTACTCTTTTCTTTGTTTCTAACAACATTTTCCTGTTTTTTAGTACTTTGCTTATCTTTTGGAAGGCATATTTTGCTCTCCCAATGCGTCTTCGTATTTTAGAGTTGCGATATTTAAATTGTTGTTTTTGATTTTGGCATCCCCAATTTGTAATTTGCATATTGGGCTGTTCCTTTTTGCTTGCAACCATGTCTTCCTGCAATTAGTGTTTAGGCCTTTCTTCTCGCCTTGACTTTACTGCCTTCAGTAAATTTTCTTCTAGACCAAAGGGTGTTTTTCACAGAAAGACTGGAGCTGACAGAATTGACTAGCACAGAATGTTTGCACACAAGAAGCAAAATCTGAGCTTAAAAAAAAAGATTTTGAAAATACTTTTATCGAACGCCAGTTTAATATAAAGTCTCCAAGAGTCAGAGGAAAAGGAAAGTTATTGATTTTGGCCACATTTCAAAAAGGCGTCAGTGATGCTGCCTTCTTTCGCATTTCAGAATTCCTTGGATCGAATTTACCGTTTTGTCTTGCAGATTTTGCAGACACAACTGTAAGACTGGATGGAGATATGGTTATTCACTTAGCTAAACATTTGACATAAGGTCATAATTGTGGAGCACTCGTGAGTATCATTAGCTAATAATCAACCAGATTATTTCCTTGCCATCTCTCTAAGCGTATTTAAGCGTATTTAATTTAATACGTATGTATGTATATACGTATGTATGTATGTTCGCTTTCTGATCATGAGACCCGGGTTCGAATCTCGGCATGGTCGATTTGTTAGGAAGGAGACTTACTGACGTTATCGAACTGGATCCAGATCGATCCCAGCGTGCGGCATCTTTGGAAAGTGCATGAAAACCATACCACGGGTTGACCCAAGCCCTGGGAGTGAAACTGGGCAGGTAGATTTCTTGAGGTCCGTCGATTGCTGTGCTAACACGAAGCCACAAGTCATCGTGGCCGAGGCCTTGAGCGTGCTGGCCTTGTTCAAATTGTTGATCACACAAGATAACACGCTCTCTCCCAGAAACTGTAACTAAGGTTTGCTCAGCATAGTTGCAGTATAAACCACAGGTGGGCTCTGTGGGTGTTGAGCAAACACAAATGTGCCTGAGCGAGCCTCTGCAATGGGGATTGGCTAGAGCGGTATCCACGAATATGAGTGACCAGCTATTATGTATGTATGTATGTTGGATCTTACAAACATCAGTACATATGACTGGATGGTCCATGCAAATCATCGTAGCACCTGGCAGGTGAAAATTCATGATGGAAAGGTTGCTTTTGGATGACGAAAGATAAGCGGAACAGAGATGTCCGAAGAGGTCTTGATGTAGAACTTCCAGACTGTACAGGGGACACACAGGACATCACTTGCGACGTGTGTGCTAGATTTTTCCTGGTTAAATTAAGTCATATGCAAAAATCATCGTACCACACCACCAACCATCTACAAAATGACATTTAGTACTGAAAATTCAAGTCACTTTTGCGTAAAAGTTTGCAAGCGAGCTGATGAGCTGAAAAGAAATACAGTTACAAAAATACATCTCATTAAAACTAGATGTATGTTCCTCGTGACTGTCAACTTGAGACCATAGATTTTAAAAGTTTATTTTTTCTCGTTTAAAAAGCCACATCCATTTAAAACTACATCTTACAATACAATCTTATAATGGGCATACTTGACAATCAGCTATGATGTATCTAGTGAATTAAATAAATATGAATTTAAATATATATATATATATTATCATGCGGCCTCATCCGAGATTGAATTCACCAATACTTTGATTGGTGTAGTTCATAATCTTGTCAAATAGCTGAATTCTTGATGGTTCGCTAGGGCTATCAAGGGTGTTTTTATCGTGACACCAACACTAAATGGATTGCCAACCAAGGCTCAGAGAGACTCCATTCACCCTCCTCTAAGAGCTGGTTTGAATTCAGAGTTTTCCTTCTCCTAGACCAGTTGCCATCCAAGGCTATAGAACCCAGTCTGTCCTGCTATTTACCCGTAGCTGGAGGGAGAAGAAAGAGGATTCACACCTTTCCCAAGGGTGTTAGCACGTAAATGAATGCAATGGATTCAACTGGAATTCGAACTCGGCTCTCCGATTCCTCAATCCAAGCCGCTATCCATTACTCCACCGTGCCTATATATGGACCTTTATGTAATCGTTCAGTTTACTCCTCACAAGTTTTCAGAATTGCTGAAAACTCCTGACGATTGGACCAAATGATTACGAAAAGGATAATTTACGGAACTCCAGAGTCAAGATGCTAAATATAACATCAATCAACTAACAAATTTTATTTTTATGAATCCTATTTATGCCCTATTTCCGATATTAAGCACTTTATTGCAAAGACTGCCTGCCATAAATGTTCTTTCTTTCCGACTTACACTGACTGTCAGCATTTCTGGTTTCACCATATATTTATTATCGCTATATATATATATATATATATATATATATATATATATATATATATATATATATATATTTATAACCTAGAAAGGGTAACTACATGAGGAATAACCAAAACGAAGGTTGGAAATGAAATGGTAATGATGTTATAAACATCAACAAAATATAATACTCGCCAGCGGTGTGAAGTAGGTAAACAACTGCTAGGGGGGGAACTACTTAGACAGCATATTATCCTCACTTACAATAGTGTCCAACGCATTTATGAGGATTGGAACATGTCTATTAGTGTTCAGAGGTACGGTATATAACACACACGCGCGTGCGCGCGCGCGCACACACACACACACACACCCACACACACACATATATATAAATATATATATATATGAGGGAGAAGCTATAGCTGTTCCATCAAGAAAAGTGAATATTTTAAAGAGAAAAGAGAAGCTGCAAACGTTTTTGCTTTAATGTGGACTTTTTAAATATATATTATACTTTATTTTACATATTTCTGCTACACGGGTTTTGGGTCTTTCGACATTTTATCAGACAAAAAGAAATTATATATATATATATATATATATATATATATATATATATATATATATTTGTAATGCACTTTGTAGATTAGCGGTAACCACGCCATTAAACTGAACTACCCCTCAGTAGCTGCCTGGCCATTGACCCACGAGGTGGTTAGTAATCGACATGTCTACGATCGTCCAGCTGCTCTTGTGAAGAGCATTCGTCCCAGCCACAAAGCAATGGAAATCATTGAATGATTTAAATACTCTAAAACCCCGGTCTACGACCTTGCATAAGGATATGGTGCCTCAAAAGACAAGGACAATTTCAGGCTAGAACGCAAGACTCATAAAAAAGTGCTCTGGTGCCACCAGGACGCCCGATTTCGTTGCCGATCTTCTCAAAGTTGTCAAGGAGAACCCCCCATCAAAAGCAGAAGGAAAATCTCCAATGATATGAGCACGAACAAGGAGAACAATCGGGCATATTTGCCAAGGAGGACTTGAATTATAGATCTCATGCCCTCAAGAGCATCTCATAGTATCACTGGTCAACCGACTTATGACCGCACTCATCGCCAGACTGCAATCGTCTCCACTATTTTGTGTGGGGCGCCTTAGAGAGGGAGTTGAATAACAGACCTTAGAACACTAAGCAGGCTTTCAAGGTAGTCATCAAGGAGTTCATGACTAACATGTACAAGGATGCCGTCGCCAAAACCTGCTTCCGCTTCTGGCACCGTCTGAAGAAAGTGATGGCCACCAATGGTGACTGCATCAAGTGATTTTTGGACCTTATATATGTGCCTATGTATAAGGTTTCACCGAAATAGATTAATTTGTTATATAAAAAGCTGTTTTTATTATCCATCAATTTGTCCCGGGTTTATCTG